AAACGCCGTATTGATACGCTGCTGGTTTTGCTTCGCGACCGCCGCAGCCGCCGCGTCGTGTCGCGTCGTCGCCTCGGGTGTCGCGCCGTGTCGCCCCGCTCTCCTCCGGACTGACGCAATATCGAACAAGAGCTCCATCATCATCACACTCGCAGGGCCCCCCGGCCTGGGCCGGGCCTGGCCGCGAATGCGTGACTCTCACGTGCCCTCCCAGGTCACCCACACACTCTTTCACACACACACACACACACACACACACACACACACACACACAGACGCGCCTGTGCGAGCTACGACGCCGGACGCCTTTCCGCCTTTCCGCCGGGGCCTTCATAATCGACGCTCGACGTTACCTGACGAGTTGGCTTAAAGTACATAAAAGAGAAGAGGGTCACATTATGGTTGATACATTCAGTACTCTCCATAAAGTACATCAAGTACATTCAGTGCATCGCGGTGGCGATCCCCCCCCCCCTCCCTCTTTTTCCCCATGAGTGGAGGTGCCTCGGGGGTGGGGGCCAAAAGGGAGGGACAGGGGAGGGGAGTTGTATCCGCGAATACCCTGGCGGCAGAATATGGCCGAGACATCAATGAAGATAGTGGAGCAGCGTCCCCGTCCCAGGAGGCGAGAGGAGCCTTGCCACGCTGTCCTGGACGGTGTGACAAGACAAGCAAGAAGCGCGTTCTGCGTCTACCGCACGACAGCCCCCCCCCCCTCTTTCCCTCTCATGGGCCGTGGTAGGCCTGTTACGTAAGTGCGTGTCAGGTATCTAGAGCGGGGATAGGGCTGCCGGAGCGCGCGTCACAGCTCTGCTCGTCCCGCAAAACACGGAGCTGCATACCCCCCCCCCCTATATACTCTATCACTCTCACGACTGTGTGTATTTCCTTCCTTCTTTCTTTCTTAGTCTACGTCTCGTCACAAACATTCACAGAAGGTTAAACGTTCAGCAGGCGACAAATTGTGTCTATAGTCGCCGGTGAGGTCACGCCGGCCCGTGTCATACCCTAACACAGCTGATACGGAAACGATGATCTTGGAAAAGCGAGATAAAGTCTTTGAGACAAGGACGAGAGATAGGGCGTCGAAATGGGAAGAGAGGGAGTGAGGCGGGGCGCGGCGGGGCGGGGTGGGGGCGGTTGGGGCGCGAGGACGGAGCGGGGCGGGCTCGGCTATGGGTGTCTGGGTTTGGACATGCAAAGAGTTCGGGCAAAGCGATTACGAGTCATGCAAGACACACCCTCGGGCCCGTCCCCCGGCAGCGTCGCCCCGCCATGCCACGACCAGCCCCTCCCGCAAACAGTACCGTTCAGAAATGTCATGCAAGGAGCACTGCCCTAAGGAATGCGCAAGACTTGGCCATGAATCCCGCGACGACTGGGTGTATAGCACTTTCTTCGCCCCAATCGCAATCGGTACAAAAGCTTCAAAAGAACAGAAAGGCAGAAATTAGATCCGCAGAGAAATACAAGACTGTCGAGACTGTGTCGAAGATTATATTCAAAATTAAATCGATCCGATATCGGTCCCACTAGTTTGATATGCGAAATGAACTTTTTAGTTTATCTTCTATAGTTATGAAGAATATTCAAGATGATTTTCTTCGTCGAATAGAAAAACTAAAAAAAATATGGATCGTTTTATTATTGCAAAGTTGATGTTGCTGCATGACCAATAATTGCGCTTCACTTTCAGAAATCATCCTCTTAGCTCACCATCGTACCTATAGTAGGCCGATACAGTACGCCTTGGCGATTTCATGTTACTAGGGATAGTGTAACGTTAACGATGGCGGGCGCGTGGGGTGCGGAGGAGCGCGGTGGGGCGCGGTGGGGCGCGGCGGGGCGGGGCGT